GGTACTTATAAGTTCGTCCCTCAACTTAATTAATGGCAGATTTGAGGGGAATATTGCATCAAATCTGACATCTCAAGGGAAACATCCAGTTTTACCCCTCAGTTTAAACTCGTTTCTTAAACCCAAAAATCCCCAAAAACCACATTCTCCAATGTCAGAAATTCTCCCTTACTTATTTCTAAAATTCACCAAAGTTTTCAGGGGTAATTTGGTAACTGAGGGCGTCCAATTATGGTCTCAAGATCTAACTAGAAAACTAACAGAAGGATCAATTTGCAAGACCGCTTAAGATTTGAGGTGATGTATGAACAATTTCAAAGATTCGAGGGACTAATGCGGAATTATTAGACATATGAGGAACTAATATATAAATTGCTAGTCATCTTAATCTTGGCTTGAGTCTGGAATGCTTCAGTTTGATCCCAGCTAAAAATGAACCCCTTCTATGAGGTATTCCTTGGCTGATTAGCTCTTAAATAGTATACTCACTGGAGAGCTTTGCTACAGGGATCTAAAATATGGAACCAACATGAGGGACATGTGAGGTGTCCCCCTCTTATTGTATAATGAGTTGGCTATCGACACCTCCTCTTATTGCATAATGAGCTGACCATCATTAATGATGGTAAGCTCATTATGCATTAGGAGGGGGAAACCTCACATGTCCCGCCTGTTGGCCCCATATTTTGGGTCCTTATGGAATTTTTCTTTTATTTTTGAGAAACTCGTTTCCTAAAGTGATGATTATTGCAAGAGAAACTTATCTAAATTGTCAAAACTGTATAAAAGAATGGAGCTACAGCTTGGTTCCAAATTATGGTATGTTATCTGGTTGGAAGCAGGCTGGATCCTTATGGTTGATTAGGGATGCACCTGCACCCTAGTAATCTAAAATTTGGATTTTAAAGTCTTTTATTATTAAAATCTGTCTCCCATAGTTTTAATAAAAATCTCTCACTCCATGAATTTTCAAACAACTTGCATTTAGCATTTACAAATTAGTTGTCAATTTTCATGCAGTCCATTTGAAATTCAGCAGCCCATTTTTCTAAGTAAATAGATATTTATCGGCCGCCCCTATTAAAAAAAATTCTGGATTGGCCACCGGGAGGAGAAAGAAAGATTTAGTATTCGTCTGGATTATCATTAGATTATGGTTCTTAAGCTATAAGTAGGTTTATTGAGAGGAGAATTCAATAAGTACTCGGATAACTATACCAAAAAGTAGTGTTTGATAGATTGAAATTTGTCTTTTCATTTGTCTGATTTGTTAAGCCCAAACCAGAATATGATTTTTTTTATGTAAGTCCCTGGCTCTATGCGTAGAAGCTAAACACTATGTTGAGGATAGGAAATATTCAAAGAGCCCCAGTTCCGAGACTCAGGATTAGATAAAAAGTTCACAGAAATAACAACCTTGCTTCAGAAACTGCTAATCACATCCACTGATACTTATAATTTTAGGCTCTCATTTTGGAGCCTAACTAATTTTTAGGAACAGGTTCTCCTCCAGTTGGCACTATTATAGATTTTGGTATTTAAATTACACATTCCATAGTTCTTGGAAAGGAACATAAGAATATAACTATTGAATTTACTTTTATATGTTGTGATATCAAGATGCCCAACTTGCACTTACCCGTAGAATGCTGAGCTTTTATGAGATGAAGCTTGGAAGGGGGCAAAAGATTTGTATCAGCTTTTTCTGAGCAGAGAATATATTGACCAGCTCAACACTGGAGACCGATGTGTAATATTTAAGTACAAAGACTGAGCCCGTGTCTTGGTGTTTCTAGTAACTAGTATGTACCCCGTGCCAAGCACGGCCCTCGCCTCTTTTCTACAATTCGTTAATGTTGTTTGATCTCAATTTTATTTTTATTTTGAACCGATTTTTACAGCTATCAACTATGAAGAACTACAAATGAGTTGCATTTGAAAAATAGATGTCTAATAATATTGTATGGTGCAAATATAACAATACTACCCCAACAACTCACACATAATGACGTAATAAAACAATATATCTATAGTTCTATAAATATCCCCTATTAAGTCTCTTCACAGCTTTGTGCACATAAACTATCCCAATCTCCTCAATGTCAACAATTAGATTGTGTGTAAGAGAGATCTATTGAGTAGCATGAACGGTGATTCTCAATTTATATTCTCAAATATTGATTATGTTAACAAAATTAAGTATTATGCTCTAAATAATTGTAATATTCTGCTATAAATTCATTTTAGTGTAAAAGTGAATTGAAAAATTAATTAATATTTGGTTATTATTCGTTTATTAATGATCAAGTTCGAAGCGATAATTCATTTAATACAAAAATATATTTTTTAGTATCTGGTTTATAAATAAATAAAATTTAACCAAAGATATGTTTGATTAATTTGTTGTCGTTTATTAATTTGATAAATTTTTCATAGAAATTTAACCAAATATATGTTTGATAGTTCATTAACAATTTTATTCGGTAGTCGAAGAGAGAGAGAGAGAGAGAGGAAAAAAACACTGAAGCCTTTTCATTTCCACATTGGTAGTTGAAAATAACAACAAACGCTTTCACCTAATTCCATCCCACCGTGTTCTTAAGTTTTGATGCGATAGGAAAAAAAAACAAAAGATTAGATTAATGAAGAGCAAGCCCGATAAACAATTTGATAAGAATATAAGCACCCTTTATTTGTATAAAAATGTGATATTAGAACAGTGCGAATTAGTTATAGCTAGAATCTAGTAGCTGGGTTAATTTAGCTACATTAATCAAAAAACATGACTTAGAAACTAAAATATCTCGGCACACAAAATGCAGGGCTTGTTTGGATTTTTTATTTTTCCCTTTGGAAATTAAGATGAATTTTTTTTCCATTGGAAATTAAGTTGATGAATCTCTATTAGACTTTGGGGTCATGGCTTAGTTTTTTCTTGGAATTATTCCAAATGTTTATTATGTAAAATTTGTTTTACAAATGATACCCATTATCTACCTATAAATATCAAAGAGTGGGGTTTTAGGGCTAGGGCTTCCGCCTCCTTCAGATCTGAGCGATGGCTGCCGCCTCCTTCAGATCTGAGCGATCGAATCCTCTCTCCTCTTTCTTTCCCTCTCCTCCTTCAAAACCGACTCCGCCTTCGAACCTCGCCTTCGTTCACAACTCACCTCAAGGTCGTCGTTCTTCGTAGCTCGTCGTCGACCTCGCCTTCGAACCTCGTCATCGACCTCGCCTTCGAAGCTCGTCGTCGACTCCTCCCTTGAATCTCGTCGTCGACTCCGCCTTCAAATGTCGTCGTCGTTGACGGTTTTAGGTAAAGATTTTTTTTTAAAGATTTGTTGATTTAACCTGTAAAGATTGATATTTTCATTCTTTAATGCTGTCACTTTTATCATCTTTCATCTTTCATCTTTCATGCAGCAGATCTCGAAAGACAGAAGGTTGGTCGTGCAGCGTCAGAGTTTTGTCACCAAGGTCTGATCTTTTTAGCATACTACCTGTCTCATGTTGAAATTTTAGTTTGTTTGTTATTTATGAGTAAAGATTTATTTAAGTTTGATTATAGTTTTGTTTATTTTTCCTAAACTGGAAAGATACTATCTTTTTTCAGCCTTTATTGTATGTTAACTGTTTATGGCGGTATATTTGGTTAACATTCGTTGACACAAAGACATGCAAATGCGAGTCTTCTATTATCATTAAGTAATTAATTTGCAATTAATTTGTGTACTTTTTGAGTCTGCATGTCCATATTAATTTGTGATTCACTGCCTTCCTTGAGGGATTTCGTCGGATTTTGCTTGATTTGTTGGATTTCGGCAATTACAGGTATAATTTCTTCATGATATTCCCTTTTGTTAAATAGTTGATGAATAATTGGATTTCATAACCATGAAAATCTGTTAATCCTTGAGGGATTTCGTCGGATTTTGCTTGATTTGTTGGATTTCGGCAATTACAGGTATAATTTCTTCATGATATTCCCTTTTGTTAAATAGTTGATGAATAATTGGATTTCATAACCATGAAAATCTGTTAATCTATTGTTTCCCTAATTTTTTGGTATTATTTATGCTTAATATCATGCTAGATTCATTAAATTTGGTTGATTTATCTCATCTCCTAGAAATCTGGTTCAGTTTCGTTGTGAAATTTTAGATATTTCTTCATCTTGCTTTTTATGTGTTTGCTAATTTATATTTATGTGAATGAATATGAATGAATGAAATTTGATTCATTTTTGTGAATAGGTCAGCGTTTTTAGTTTTTAACATGGAAAAGTTGTTGTTTTCTATTAGATACTGGGGAGTCTAATTCATGTTATCTGGTTATTTATTCAGTGTGTCTTACTAATTTACAAAAAAGGAATTGGTTAGTGCAGTAAGATGTGAATAAATGAAAGGAGATATAGTTATCTGGTCAATTAAATTTGGCTTGATATTTGTTAAGTTTTCTTCTGTAACAGCAATTTAAATGCGAAGAAGTGATAGTATCTTCTGTCTATTTAACTGACTTATGCTTAGGTTTTAAATTTGCATTATGGAGTTCCTTTTATAGAACGATGAATTTTAACAGTAAAAAGCTTTGAATGTTTTTTAAGTTAAAAGTATAAATTAATCTGTAAATAGAAAGTTCTCGTTGAACAAAATAAAGAGCTTTGAATGTTTTAACAGTAAAAAGCTTTGAACGTTTCAACAGCTCTATTGTATATACCGCTGTCAATAAACAAATACATATGCATTTTAGTATTGGTTGTTGGCTTCTTGTGGTATATAACGGTCGGTTTGAGCTTAATGACAGATGGCTTTCTTTGGTACTCAATTCTGGTATTTGTTCTTTTGGTTTATGTTTTTTTAGATGGGCAGTGATGATGATAACAAACTGAGAATGCATCCTATTTTAATTAATTATGTAATGTTTAGGCGAGGCAATTCTGTGTGGAATGCCACCTACATTGATATTACAATGTTTGGGTGATGTAATCCTTTTGGTATATGTTTTTTTAGATGGGCAGTGATGATGATAACAAACTGAGAATGCATCCTATTTTAATTAATTATGTAATGTTTAGGCGAGGCAATTCTGTGTGGAATGCCACCTACATTGATATTACAATGTTTGGGTGATGTAATCCCTCATAATAGCAGCCTACATTGCATCATAGTTTTATAGGAGAGGCAATCTTTTATGACCAATCTATTTTTATCCTGAGCTCTAGTAAGTCCTCATAGATTTTGCTGATGAATTCGAGCTTGTTTAGTTCTAATTTTAGTAGGAATTGGTGCTATTTTGTAGCTTATGAGTTTAATCATACATAGTTGAAAGAATTGGTTTTATCATGTAGCCTTTATAATTGATAGAACTTGTTTTATCATGTAGTCAGCAACAATAACTTTATAATCTGAATAAATTGATAGATTTGTATTACCTGTGAAGTTCGTAGAGCTTCGAAATATACAACATCATAAATTGTTGCTTCCGAAGCCTTCATAAATTAATTTGGGCATATACATAAATAGCCTATAAGTTGCTCAATGAAATCATACCTGCTTAAGATGAGCATTGTTAGTTCAATTTTGAAGTCATAACTCTCTTTTGTGTCTTTTCTTCATACTAAAGGCAGGGAACTGCTTGAGTAAATGTTGAGAGGGTATTTTCTCTACATAGACATAGGAAAAAAGGCTGCATAAACATGGAAATTGCTATAATATTATGCGCACATAAACACAGGACCATGCTCAATATTCAACTACCATTCATTCATGCATGTGAGATCTTAAACATAGTAAAGTACTTACTCCAAAATAACCTTAAAGTTAGACTAATACATATAACCACACTGAGTGTTTCAAAGCAAATATCATATAGAAAGTCACTAAGGTATTAAGCTTTTCTGAACTGGATCTGAAGACCAAAAAAAATCATCAGGTTTGTGCACAAAAACTTCGTAGCAACTCCAATAAAAATTCAGATCCATTTCTCCTTGCCACACTCATTGGAAGTTCTTTTTCTTTTGAGATCTGCAACAACACAAAATAGATAATGAGCTATTTATGATATTGTATTCATATAGTGGTTAGAACATGTAACAAATGATTGCTAATCAACTTAACCTTCAGTTTCTTTGATAGTAGAATTCCTTTGAATGTTCTCATCTTCTCCAAGATCTTTTATCCTTAAAGGTGAACTTTTGAAAATCTTTTCTATCTTTGGCTTGAGTGGTGTGTTAGTCAAGGGTGTGAACACAATTTTATCTTTTGAAATATGTTTAGGTGTTTGTAGGAGAGCGTCTTCATGTAGATCAACGACTTCAACTTCTTGGGATTCCTTTGTAGAGAAAATTAGATGTAATTTACTATACATTGTCATTTAAAATAATAAGCATTTGTAATAACTTTGCTAAGTTCGCTAACTTCAAAATTTAGGTTTGTACCTGTGAATCACCTTCAATAGCTTCGATAAGTTTTGTAACAGTGAAGCTCTCATTGCCTGTTTCATCAGTATAAAAATAAAACTATGAAAAACAAATGTAAAGCCATCTTTAAATTTGTAGGATATTATTGCTATATATTAGATAAACGTATTAGATCATTAATCAAACAAAACAATTGCTTACCTTCTTCGAAGTTATACTTTGTTAGCTTAACCTGAACTTTTATAGTCTTCCCAATAATTGATTTGATAATCTCTGGGAATATCTCCCTTTCATTGTTCTGCACAAAATCACGCATTACTTACGCACTTCTTAATGCATTTATCTTCTAATGTGTAGCAGTTTGATTATTAGAGGTCGAGCTTACATATTCTATTGTCCTTGATACCTCCTGGGCTGAAACTTTGATTAAATTTTCTGCTTCCTTTCCAAAGACAACGAATGTGCTGACTGTAGTTCTATCTTCTACATCCAATGTTATTCTATACCTATTTATACGTTTATATTTAGAAAAAAAAATTTACTCAGAATATGAAGAGAGTGAGAAATAATTATTTGTAGCGTGAAATAAATTAATTGCTTACTTGTTCTCTGCTAGGACTTCCCTGTTACATTGTCTGCACCAATAGGTGTTTCCTGATTCCATTGTTTTCTTGTTGCAATATGGACATCCATGGTATCTCCATTTTTGTTCAAGTATGCCAATAATTTTCACCTGACATAAGAAATGAAAGACCTGCACAAATCCATGACAATGATGTCTATTTTCTTGAAAAATAAAATTTGGTTCATCATTTGAGTGTGAATGTTAACTTACTTCGGCTGTTTTTGGGTCTTCAAAGTATATTAATTCCATCAAAGTTACTATTTCAGATTTCATTAAGTTTGTTTGGCTTGGACTGAAGTATACTGATGTGGCAATAACTTGCAATTCAGTTTCAGAGTCCGTATGTCTGTACATATACATATTTTATTAGAAATT